TGTCTATCACCCAGCCACCCCATCCCTCCCACCCCCCACCACTCCAGCAACCCTCAGTTTGTTTCCTGAGATTAAGAATTCCTCGTATCAGTGAGGTCATATGATACATGTCTTTCTCTGACTGACTTATTTCACTTAGCATAACACCCTCCAGTTCCATCCACGTCGTTGCAAATGGCAAGATCTCATTCCTTTTGATGGCTGCATAATATTCCATTGTGTATATATACCACCTCTTCTTTATCCATTCATCTGTCGATGGACATCTTGGCTCTTTCCACAGTTTGGCGATTGTGGACATTGCTGCTATAAACATCGGGGTGCACGTACCGCAAGGGGAGCTTGTTAAGCCTGCGTGTGATCTTCAAGCCCTGTTGGTGCCTCGCCTCTGGGGAGGGAAAGCATCCAGGACCAAAGACACTTGGATTCATCAAGTAGACACGGGCCAGAGGGGGCTTCTAAGGACCTGAAGCTGGGACCGCAGGTGACCCGATGGCTGAAGGGAGCAGCGGTACCCATCCTGTTGGCTGGGGGTCCAGCAGCAACACCCCGCACAGGATGTCGGGACCCCTGCCTGTGAACGGCTTGTCACCCGAGAATCCCAGAGCCGTTCTTCTTGCTTACTCACTGTAGAGCTCGCTTCAAGCGGCTGGGCAAGGTCACACTTCCACCGTCTTCCCGTCCCAGGATGTTGCCTCCCCGATGCAGACCCAGGGGGGGCCTCCCTGAGGGCTGTAGTGCAGGCGGGCGCAGTGACCCCAGGGGGAGTGAGACCACCTCTGTCGCGAGGGACTTGAGAAAGGTATTTTCTTGTCTTGCTGTCTCCTTCCCTCTCCTCTAGTGGCCTGGAGGTGCGTGATCTGAAATTCTAGCTTCCCTTTCTCGTGTATTGACTGGTGGAAATCCCGATTTCCTCCTGGCTTCCCTTTTGGCATCTTTGCATTTAAAAAAAAATGTGGTAAATAACATATAACATGAGATCTACTCTCTTAACAAAATTTTAAGAGTGCAGACCATGTTGGCCATGGGCACCGTGTTGGACAGCAGATGTTTGCCATGTGTTCTCATCCTGCTTGGCTGAAGCCGGTACCCATGGCAGCCCCCCGTTTCTTCTCCTCCCTGCCTCCCACAACCACCACAGTACATGCTGCTCCTGTGAGTTTGGCTGCTTCAGATGCCTCCTACGAGCGGACTCATGCAGTATTTGTCCTTCTGCACCTGGTTTATTTCGCTTAACCTGATGTCTTCCTCCACTCTGTAGCAGGTGCAAGAGTTTCTCCTTTCTCACGGCTGAGCAGTATCCCAGTGCACGCGCCTCATGGTGTTTGTACGTTCATCCATCAACAGACAGTTAGGTGTTTCTACCTCTGAACTCTTGTGAGTAAGACTGCTCTGAACATGGGTGTGCAAATACCTTTCCAAGACCTGGGTTTCAGGGGTTTTTTTTGGCTAAATACGCCTAGTTGTTCTACTTCTAGTTTTTTAAGGAATGTTAATACTGTCTTCCATAGAAGCTGCACCTTTTCATATTCCCAGCAACAATGTACAAGAGTTCCAATCTCTCCATAGCCTCGCCAACATTTATTATATTCTGTTTTTTTGTTTTGTTTTTTTTTTAAATGGACATCTTAGGTGTGAGGTGGTATCTCATTGAGGTGTTGATTTGCATTTCCCTGATGATGAGTGATGTTGAGCATCTTTTCATATGCCTCTTGGCTCTAAAACTGAATCAGGGAGACATAAGAAATCTGAACAGACCAATTACTAGTAACAAAATTGAATTAGTAAACAAGAAACTCCCCACAGGAGTGCCTGGGTGGCTCAGTTGGTTGAGCGTCTGACTCATGATCTCGGTTCAGGTCATGATCTCAGGGTCGTGAGTTCCGGCCCAGTGTGGGCTCCACTCTAGGCATGGAACGTACTTCAAAAACAAAAAAGGAAACAAAAAAAGAAAAAAACAAAAAACTCCCAATAAACAAAAGTCCAGGGCCAGATGGATTACAAGGGAACTCTACCAAACATTTAAAGATGAGTTAATACTTATTCTTGAACTATTCCAAAAAAAAGAGGAAGGAATGCTTCCAAATTCATTCTGTGAGGCCAACATTACCCTCATACTAAAACCAGATAAAGACACTGTAAATATAGAAAATTACAGGCCAGTATCCCTGATGAATATGGAAGCAAAAGTCCTCAACAAAATACTAGCGAACCACAGTCAACAAAACAGTAAAAGGATTACTTACCATGATCAAGTGGGATTTATTCCAGAGATGCAAGGATGGCTCAGTATTCACAAATCAGTCAACATGGTCCACACATGAACAAAATGAAGAATAAAATCAGTATCATCATAATAGCTGCCGAAAAAGCATTTGACAAAATTCAACATCTATTCGTGATGAAAACTCTCAACAAAGTGGGTCTAGAGGGAACATACCTCACATAATAAAGGCCTTATAGGAGAAACCCAGCCAACCTCACAGTGCATGGGGAAGAACTGAGAGCTTTTCCCTGAGATCAGGAACAAGACAAGAATGTCCATTCTTACCACTTTTATTCAATGCAGTACTGGGCGTTTTAGCTGCAGCAGTTAGATAAGAAAAAGAAAGAAAAGGCATCCAAATTGGTATGGAAGAAGTAAAACTTGCACTATTTGCAGACGACATGATGCTATATATAGAAAATCCTAAAGACTCCACCTGAAAACTACTAGGATTGATAAAGGAATTCAGTAAGGTCGCAGGATACAAAATTAATATACAGAAATCATGTGCCTGTTGGCCATTTCTGGTCTTCTCTGGAGACTTGTCTGTTCAGGTCCTTTGTCCATGGTTGGGTCGGGTTGCTTGTGGTTTTGCTGCTGAGCTGTGGGGATCGCTTTGCCCCTACCTCCCGAACCTTCATGCCCCGACCCGGCAGACTCCTCTCTCATGCTCTCTGCTCCTCAGCGGGGTCCTTCTGCCCTTTTCTATTCCCCTGCGCCTGTCACTCTGCTCCTGCGACCTTTCCCTTACTTTCCGAAACATACTCAAACCCAATTCTGCCACATCCTTAAAAACCCAGGTCCCGCCAAGGTTCCCACGTTCCTTCCCCAACGAGCCAGCCAGACGGGTGAAGTCTCGGGTGTGTCCTGTCCCTGTTGCTTCCGGGCAGTTGGCAGAGCTTGCTGTCTTGCACACACAAGGGGGATGGTGTTACACACGTGCTTGTTCTCTGTTGGCTGAGCTCCATCTCCGGCAGGAGCCTGGGAAGCCATGTGTGTGCGTTTGTGTGTGAGTCTAACAGAGCTGAGCTTCCAGCCCCAGCGAGGTCTGGCGACAGCAAAGGACCTGGAGCGAGCGCGGTCTCCGTGCACGAGTCACCATTCATCCCCTGAGAGAAGGAGGAGCAGGCCAGGGTCAGGGAGGGAAGGGAAAGGTCAGCGACCAGGGCGCGTGAGCACGTTTGGTTGGAAGAGACAAGCAGGTTTACGCAGAAGGTTATGACTGTGATGGGAGGCGGGCTCTGCAGGCACGGGTTGGCAGGTGTGCGCTGGGCTCACCCCACCCTTCTGCATGTCGCCAGAGCAGCTGTTGACTGCAGGGAGCCAGCCTGGCTGGCAGTCGGAACACCTGTACCCCGAGTGCCCTGTTCCAGAGAATCCATGGCTTCCAACCCGGGGTGTCCTTGGCAGCCTGCTGCATGGCTGGTTCGTCCATGCCAAGCTCTAGGTCACCCAGAGGCCCCCCCCACAGCCCTCAGGAGCCCAGCAAGGGAAGGCCCCCGGGCCCGGCCTGGAGCTGGGCGCGAGACGTGGCTCTTGAGCCGTGCTGGTCCGTCATGCTCCCTGCCGGCCGCTAGAAGGACCCTTCGGTGGGCCTCACAAAATCCAAGGAGATGCTCCACCTCATGGTCTTTATTGCCTCCTTCATGAGACTCCCGCACCCCTGTCACTCTTGTCAGCTTTTAGTCGCCTCCAAGACCCTGCCTTGCACCGTGAGCCCCGGCAACCTGTTGTCTCACTGATGCATGGCCACTTCTGGGTCCCTGTGTTCCCCGTGTTCCAGCCAGAGGACAGTTAGGGCCCCCCCTTTTGTACCTTTGAGCGTTCCTGGCTGGGGCAAAGCCTGCTCTCCCGTGAATCCGGGGAAGCTGACAGCCAGGCAGGCCTCGGCCCTCCAGCAGGAGGGGAAATGCAGCAGGTGGCCTGGTCCTCTCACCAGCTGACCTCACCCTTCCTGCTCGCTGACTCGGAGGACAGCTCCGTCCGTTTCAGCTTCTCTCTGACCCTCTCTCACTCCCCTCCAATTGTCACAGTGCTGGGGCACTGGCTCCCCAACCTGGCTGGTGTGTAGGATCACCTGGATGCTTAAGAAAAGAAAGAAAAAACATTCTTAGTTCCTATCCATGGAAGTTTCCTGTAGGTGCGGATCGGGTCTGGGAATCTGGTGTTTTTGTACATACAGTTGACCCTTGAACTACTCAGGTGTTAGGGGCACCAACCCGCACGTGCAGTTGAAAATCCACGTGTGGCTTTTGCCTCCTCCAGGGCTTACCTGCTAGTAGCCTCCTGTTCACCAGAAGCCTGACCGTTGACACACAGTTGACTATCACCTCTTTTGCATGCTATATGTATCATGTACTGTGTTCTTACAATGAAATAAGCCAGAGAAAAGAAAACATTGTCAAGAAAATCGTAAGGATGAGGAAATGCATTTACAGCACTGTCCCCTATTGAAAAAAAAATCCACATAACCGTGGGCTTCCACAGTACAAACCCACGCCGTCCAAGACGTACACAGGAGAAAGCCTGGGGAGATGGGTGACAGGCTCCCTGAGCTGCTGAGTGTTTGTGTCCCTGATTGCCTGACTGTGCTTGTTGGATTTTCTAGGTGGTCACGCGTGTTTCAGCGATCAGGGAGAGGACGGACGTCATTCCAAAGCAGAACGCAGACCCCCGAGGGTGCGTCTCCTTCAGAAACCATTCACACTGTCACGTGTGCTCCTCTCTCCCACAGGGGGACTCGATCTCATCTTCATGCCAGGTCTCGGGTTCGACAAGCAGGGGAACCGCTTGGGGAGAGGCAGGGGCTACTATGACACGTACCTGAAACGCTGTCTGCAGCAGCAGGACGTGAGGCCCTACACCATGGCCTTGGCCTTCCGAGAACAGATCTGCCTGCAGGTCCCCGTGGACGAGAACGACGTGAAGGTGGATGAAGTCCTTTATGAAGAGCCGTCCGTGTGAACCCTGATGCCTGTGGCCGAAGGCTTCATCCCAGAGAAAAGCAGAATGTGTCCATTCCCCCCTCAGGACATCCATGTGCATGCGGACTGCCTGCTTTCTAGTGTAATCGCAAAACACCTGACATTCAACCACCTTCCCAAATCAGGAGTAGAACGTGAATAAAAATGGAGGCAATGGCCATATGATTTTCAGCCTGTCTTGCTGGTTATCGACGTGCCGGGTGGATCTTTCTGCAGCGTCGCTCCGTGTTGGTGAGGTGCTGTGGTCCCACCCGAGTGGGAGAGCCAGGGGATCCCGCCCCGCGTGGACACAGTTCCAGCGCGTCCTGTCGTGGGCCTGCTCAGGCTTCGGCAGGCTCGGGAGGCTCAGCCACTGTTCACTGACCTGTTGGTGTGTGTGTGTGCAGAGCTCCCCCGGAATATTCTAGCACTTTGTCATGACTTCATTTGCTCACCCTGAGATTCTGTGTCTGATGCTTTGTAGCTTTTGACGGTCCGTGGACTGAAACCTTTTATGATTTAAGTGCTTTAGCTCCATCTCTGTGTGTCTCTGTGTGTCGGCCACTTAGGAGTTTAAGATCTGATGTCCCGTCGGTTAGAAATTATTTGTTTGCTTGTGGTGTCTGCTTTGGAAATGAAATGCGCCGTGGGCCGCGCGCCGGCAGATGGCATCCCGGCGTGGGAGCGGGGATTTTGTGGGGGAGCTTTGCTCGTGACCGGAAACCCGGGAGTCTTCCTAGCCACTGCTCTCATCCCCACCCTGCGCCCCGCCTGTGCCGGGTCCTGTGCTGTTTGCCTCCGGGGTGCCGCTGATGCCTGGTCCCTCCGCTCCCCGTCCGCTTGCTCCCGGTGTCCAGGCTCGCGGCGTTTCCGAGCCGAATGGGTGGCAGACTCCCATCTGGCTTCTCTTGCCTGCAGTCTGGCGCTGTCTTCCCTGTTTCCCAAACTCCAGTCCGAGTGACTTCACCGAGCATGAATCTGGGAGTCCGGCCCTTCAGGGCCTACGGGTAACGGGGGGCGGCCGGCTGCCTTCTCCTGCAGGAGGCCCCCTCTGCAGACGCTCACGTCTGTGCCCTTCCTGGAGCAGCAGGGGTGTCTCCTTGCCCTTTGCACCTTGTCAGCGAGCTTTCTCCACCGGCTGCGATGCCCTTTCTCCTTTTGTTCACCTGGAAGCTCCTGTCTGTCCTTCAAGACTCAGCTCGGGCGTCTCCTCTTGTGTGGAGTCTTCCTCTACGTCCCCAGAGTTAGTGTTGCTCTGCCTGTTTAAAGAGCCCTGGCCATGTCCCCCTATGTCGTGCGCATCGACTGTTGGTTGTCACGTCTGCCCTTTCCCCGGGCCGCAAGCTCCAAAGAGGAGGGATGATGGTCACCATTTCCTGTACCTCGTAGACACCTGCACATACGGTTGGTGTTTGAGGGTTTGTGAGAATGAGGTAAGGGAACGTGCAGAAGGGTTGCATTTAAAGCATGGCTCTATGTTCTTTGGATAATAGCATGTGACTTGGTGATTTATGCATAAAAGTAAAAAATATTTTAAAATGTGAGATTTCATGAGATTCCAGAAGGCCAGAGGGCTACAGGTCTCCCACCCAGAAACAGTAACCCTGGTGGCCTGGATTTTGTGGTAGTCATTGTGCAGAGCGTATTGGGAACGGGAAAACCCCGACGACACAGGTAACCCCCATCAGGGCATAAGCAGAGGCTGAGGACAAGGCCTCAAACCCAGGAAGCGAGCCAGTGTGTCGGGGAGTCGGGGAGGGGATGGTCCAGTGGAAGACGAATAGCCACCGGATCTGAACGTCCGTCCACGATGCTGCCCGGCTGTAGAACTGAGTGTAATTTACTGAGAAGGTAAACTGTAGAGTCTAGTCCACCAGCAGATGTAACTAAGAACGTGCAGTCACCCGGTCCTGCTAACCTGGGAGCGATGCGTGTGTCTAGGTGTGGACAGTCCCATGCAGAAGGCTGGGTCCTGGTCCCCGTTCTCCACTTCTCTCTTTCAGAGATCATTTAAATCCAGCTGGTCACACTGCATTTTAATCGTGTGTTTTCACACTTATCCCCTGCACGAGCCCATGAGCTCCTCACGGGCATGGTCACGGGAGTGTGTGGTTCACCGCGGTCCCCGGCACAAAATAATAGCCAGTAAATTCTCGAGGAAGGGACGGGCAGCGTGCAGGCTGCCCAGTCTGTGTTGTGCCCTTGCTGCTTTGTGCATTGGCCACCATCTGCTGCCAAGATTCTGCCCCTTCAGCATTGTCTCCGGGCTGGATTATTCTAGAACACAGTTTCTGTTACTGCGGCTGTATGGCCCTCCAGGACTGGTCCATGTGTGTCCCGTGGTCTGTGCTGCTCGGCCCCCTTGATGCATCTCATGGTCATCATCCCTCCTGGCCTCCTGCCCTTCCTAGTGGGGCTGATCTCTCATGACTGGGTACCCCCTCCCCAAATATAGACTTATATGCTTAAAAATAAACAACAAATTGCTTTCCAGATAACATCTTATGCACAATAGGAAACACGCACAAATAAAAGAGAAGAAACAATTGAAACCGTCTATTATCAGTAATCTGTGATGTACTTAATTTCTAAAAGGGAAAGCAGGGATGGAAATTTTTTGGAAATTTACTGTTTTTGAAAACCTTATTTTAATCCCCATGGAATGGTTGAAACGTCTGGTTCTAATTTCAGTTTATTTCAGTGTTGGGTTTGAAGGGCTTTTATAGCTGAAAACAATACCTTCCAGAGATAAGCAGATCCATACAGAAGCACTGCTACACTTGTTAAAATTTTCAATGCTGTTTACCCATTTTGCAGAGGTCTTTTTCTCTTTTTTAATTGATATCGGGCTAGTAAATACCCGTGGACTTGATGTGGATCATTCCTGCATATTAATCAGAAGACGCTGCACTTTCACTTTGTTAGCACATGGGTTCAAAACTTACTGAAGCTCTCGAAAGATTTTAAACCAGGTCAGAACAGTTTTGCTCCTAGGTGTTTTGGTTGTGCAGATGTGGAGGTGTTTACAGGTGGCACACGTGGTCTGTGGCAGCACGATCGTGGAATGATGAGAATTTTCCAAATCACCATTTCCAGTGCACGCCCCATGTGTTGCAAGACGACCCTTCTGTCTCATCGGTGGAATGTGACTTTTCCCCACGAGATTCAGATCAGGTGTATTTATTCTGTGGCGGTATATGCTTAGGGAGTGGGCCACTGGTGGCCATTGGTACCACGGGAAAGTCAGAAAATGTGGAACACTCACCTTTGTGTGAAAAGTACATGCAAACTCATCTTGAAGCTTCACGGCTCTTTTTAAAAGGATTTCACCCTGAGATTGTCAGAGAAACGTAGGTGAACCAAAATAATTTTCATGGGTCTCTCCTAGCCTAAATTATTGTGAATATTCTGTTTTGTGGAATAGAATCCTCCATGGGATAGAATCACGTCAATCACATAGTGCATTTCTTGTCTGTGAACGACGGGGGGATGCTGTGGCTGAGCCTTGATGGGGGTCCACCCTGCTCCAGACAAATGCCAGCCAGAAGAATCCTGTCACAGCTAGACTTAGGTCATTTGTCCTAAAACACGGTCTTTGTTAACATGTCAGCTAATTTTGAGACCCCTATCCTCCTCATGACTTTGATGTATTTAATATCTGAACTTTTCATTCATTCTTCTCATGATGAGACCATAAGCTGGGATGTGCCGGAAGCTTCTGTCCTTTTACCCAAACTCCCACCCTGAAAAATTTATTTCCAGAACTTACGTCATTGGATTGTCTGCAGTGTTTTTCCCCCCTATTATCCAGTAAAACATGTTTTTTTTCCCAGGGTTTTTTCCCAACTGTTGCATGAGTTTCACCCATACGTCCGTGGCCGTGAGAACAAGTGTTTACAGATGGTATGCTCCTGTTTGTGTTTTGTTCCTTAACGACTTATAAACATTTATGATTGCATTTAGTGAACATTATTGAAAATGTATTAGAATTAGTATTTTGAGGTAGTAGCTATTACTGAAACTTCATAGAGGTTTTTCTTCATCTTCTGGGTCTGTAGCGTCTGTTGACTGTGGTGGCTTCTCACTTTTCCTTATGTAGGAAGAGGCTCATCATTAACTGTGATGAGCACAGATTCCTGCTAGACCATCTTTGTGAAAATTTCAGATTTGGGGGCTTCCTTCTAGACAGATGTTACTGCTTTCCCTTGTCATAGGGCTGATGAGTAGCTTTAATCAGGAGCAGAAACATCAACTACTGTTGCTGATTCCTGCTTGCCTCCGAAGAATTATCCTTGGTTTGCTGTATCTCTGTAAGAGTCGTTTAAAGCTACTTATGCATTTTAAGAGGGTTGGCTCAGTGAGAGCTACATACTGCATGGGTAAATCCTCGTTCCTGGGACTAGAGGAAAATCACAGGATGCCAAACTAGGCTGACGGCGAACTACCTCCACCCACCAATATCCCATGTCCCCATCCTGTTCCCGCAGCACAGCTAATGTAACCCTAACCCAAACCCTAGCCCTGAACCCGAACCCGAACCCGAACCCTAACCCTAACCCTAGCCCTGAACCCAAACCCGAACCCGAACCCTAACCTGAACCCTAACCCAAACCCGAACCCTAACCTTAATCCTAACCCGAACCCTAACCTGAACCCTAACCTAACCCTGAACCCGAACCCGAACCCTAACCTGAACCCGAACCTAACCCTGAACCTGAACCCGAACCCTAACCTGAACCCGAACCCGTACCAACCTGACGTGGGACTTCTGACGGCAGGCGCAGTGAGGGGCTGATATCAGTCTACATTTGAACTTTTAGCAAAACTTCTTGTCTTGTAAAGTCAAAAAAGCAAATACAAAGAGAGATTCTAGTTTCTTCTTCCCGAACGCCCGTGGACCACTGGCTCATGCCTGGGGTTTGTCCCCCATGTGGAGGCACTGGTGCTGTAAGGCCCGTGCACTTGGCCTGGGGGTTAGAGGGCTGGCCTTGCCCGTCACCCTGCAGAGGGGCCCCGCCTGAGCTGCCGGCTCCCCATCTTCATCTGGATGCTCTGCTTGGGGCTGTTCTTTTGCTGACGATGTTTGCATGGAAGGAATAACTTCAGTGAGGTCTTTAACAACAGGGCACGTCACAGAACGCTGGCAGCGGGAAGCAGCAGACCCGTCTCGCGTTCTTCCCCCATCAGACTCCCCACTGACCGGGGTCTGCCCTCTGCGGGGCAGCGAGGGATTTCTGGGACTGGACAAAAGACTAGAAACACCCATCTCAATCTCCCACTTCTTTTCATTTCATCCCTCTTCCCACTGTCAGTAGTAACTGTTTTCCATCGTAATATTTGTTATTTGTGGTTAATGTTAATATTTTTGGTTTATTCTGACCCAATAGAACATGTGAATACCAACTGACAAGGTATCTGCAGGAAAATCTACCGTGTTTCATGGTTTTGGTTATTATGTGTCCTGTGAATATCTTCTTTATACTTTTAATCTTAAACATGGTACGTTTA